CCCGCCATGCCGCCCCGTGCGTTTGCCTCGCTCAGCGCGACGCGCTGTTTTGCTTCAGGGCGCATGGCGGTGTTCTGTCCCGCGTATGTAGCGATCGGCGCTGCTACTGTCACTGAACATGTATGTCCCCCCATTTTCCCTCCTCCGCATGCTTCTGTCCCCGTCCCTATATTGCCATTCCTGCTTGTTGATTCGATCTACTTCTGGGAGTTCATGCGCTTTGAGAGTGCTTCAGCATGTTTGTTGGCAGTGAACGGTCCTGACATGATGTGCCATGCGATATGTTTATATATATGTGTATATGAAAGTTGGTACCTCACCGTGTAATGTTATATCGGTCTTGGCAACATGTACAGGAGTATTGGAAATAAGCTCGTCAACGCGGCTTGCGTATCTCTGGCCCCGCCCTGGGAATGGAGAAAGAGCTGAAAGTAGAAGAGGGGCGTTCGAATCTCGATCCAAACTGCGCGCCACCACCGGCGAACCAAAGTGCATCGAAAGCCGCTCCCCATCAGGTCAGGGATCAAGGGGCAATTCACGGTCGACCGAAGTTTCGATCCTCGGAATTTCAAAGATACGAGCTCCTCCCGTGGCCTCCCGCCGTCTCTGGATCGTCATGGAATCCTTGGACGCCTGGCTGACATGACGGCGTTGGGGCCTCCCGCGATCACTTTTAGCGCGTGGCCAGCATTCGGATTTTTCTGGGTCGTTTAGAGAAGTAGGAGGAAGGAGAAGGAGAACGAACAAACGAACGACTCTGCATAGGTCCGCCAGCACGGGTCTCGCCCACAATACCGACTAAACAAGCTCGGAACATTCGGCGGGTTGACTGACTATCACATCTAGAGTGCGCCATGGCCCCAACATTGAGAGGTCCACGCATGGCCTCGTGGCACAGAGCTCCCACCCACCCCCTTCCACGGCTGGATTGCCAACGTTTTAAAGACGGCAGGGCCGAAGGGTAGGGACAAAACTGGGTGCATGGAGAATTCGAAGCACTACCCTCCCGCCAACGCGTTGGGCTGGAAGGAGGGGGGGCCGCCCTAAATCGGGCTCGAAAGCTCCCCAAGGCATCGATAATATTCAAAGCGCGAAAGCTCGGGCGGCCCCAGGGTCCGAAAGGAAAACAAAAACTTACTTCGGCCTGGGGGCCAGCCCAAAGAGACTTAAGACTCTGCTAAAAGGGAAGTTCTGACTGAGGACAGGGAGGAGGGCACATTCGGCGGCCTAGCTGAGGACATAGAGGAGGGGTCCGCTGAAATTCTCGACTCGCTCGGCGCAGAAGGAGCAGCCCCAATCGCACTCGCTCTGGCCGCGACCGAACTCGTAGGTGCAATCTGGGAAGCCGCCGAGCCAATCCGAGAACCCGCGCTCGCTCTCGCGGGGGATGAGGCCGAGGAAGGAGTCGACGGCATGCCGTGTCCCGCCCCCAAGGGGGGCGCTGATGCTGCCATCGAGAACCTAGCTGAAATAGCTCGAATGCGAGAAGCGTCTTCCTCCGATTGGTGCTCCACTGGGGCCTGGGTCACCTCTGTCGATGACCTCGCCTGCGCAGCCCTTCTCACAAAGTGTCAAGACCGTCGAGATGTATCTGCATCGCCCTCGCACCGTGGCCCCTGGGAGGGACGCCGCGTTGGTGCTTGCCTCCGAGCTGGGCGGGGGGTCTACTATCACTTGCTCGATCTGCTTCGGCTCTACGGCGAGCCACACCTTCACGAACTCGCCCGAGTGGGTGGTCTGCATGCGGCAGTGGAGGATCTTGTCGGCCAGCTTGGAGTTGTCGGGTTTCTCGTGCTTGATCTGCCGCTCGTACTCCTTCAGGGCCGCGTGGTTGAGCAGGCCTATCTTCTCTCCTTGAGCAAGCAGAGCTCCGAGCAGGGCCAGGAAAACGTGAGGATGAGGAATGCCCAGTTCCCCGAGCTCTGCCACCACCTGGCCTGCCTGGATCTGCTGTGCGTGCTCTCTGCGAAGCCTCGCCGCTTCCTGGCCGTAGAACTTCGCTGTCAACTGCATCGACAAGACTACCTCGTGCTTGCTCGGCATCTGCGCATGCCTGAACGCCGCCGCCTCGAGGTGATTGACGGAGAGCTCCCGGCGCAGCGCTAGGCGCATGAGCACAAGGTAGGTGGCTTGGATCCACTCGATCGGCATGTGTTCGAATCGCTGCACGTCTGCGGGCGCCGAGCCATAGTGGTTGTCCGCCAGCGTCAGTACGTCGCGTCCTCCTGGTGGTGCCACGCGCTGACCTGCAGCGCCGCCAGGCTGCGCAGCCGATGCTCCGAGGCCGCCCGCGGCGGGGGCGGCTGCCGAGCGAGCTGCTCCTTGTCCCCGACGTCGCCCTGCGCCTCGCTCTCCGCTGCGTGTCCGATCGCCCTGGCCTTGCCTGCCGCGCAGCTCTTGCGCGCGCTGCTCTGCCCCAGCACTCGAGGCCCGCTCTGCCAAACTCGACATCGAAGCGAAGATCAGGTGCTGGAGGGGCGTGCACTTCTCGCATGTGTTGCTGCAGCGCAGCAGGCGTCTGAAATTCACCTTGAGCCCGAACGGCTTCGGTAAAGCGCTCGCGATGGTGAGAATGAACGCTGTCAGGATCAACGCGCGCGGGACAGGTCAGGACCTCGGGGGCCTTGAGGGCAGGGGAGTACGGGCTGAAGTCGGCCAGGCAGCGCTTAAGCTGATGGGACTGGACCGCGCGCCTCCGAGCGAGAACATCCGAGGAGAACGTCGAGGAACAATAGGAGCACTGGTTAGTCACTACTAACTGATGGACGGGTACTCGAGCTTTATGGGCGGGACGATGGCGTAGATGGGCCCTGAGAGCGCCACGAGACTCGAAGACCAGATTGCAGGGCCCCCCCGTGTCATTAGGCCACTCGCAGACGTACTCTTGAGGCTCAGGAACCGGCGGGGGAGGGGCCCCAGGTGCAGCAGGAGGGCGAAGAGGCTCATTCGACCCTTGCTCCCAGTAGGCCCTGCGGAGTCCCTTGGGGTCGATGCTGCCAAACGCCGTGGCGATCCTATAATCGGTGAAGATGTCCCTAATCGAGTGCCCCTGGTCGAGGAACTGCCTGCCGTGCGGGGTGACGCGGAGCGTGCGGATATCTTCTTGCATCTGCAATGCCCAAGGGTTCGCACGATGATGTCAACCATTCTCAAGAAACACAGGCCGATCCTGTAGAGCGGGAAAATGACCGAACAGGGCTGCAACTGCCTGCCCCGACGCCCCGGGGTAGCGCGCAAGGTTCTGCCAGTAGCGAATGCGTCCGACCAGCAACTCCGTGCGTGCATCTGCAATGCGCAAGCGCCTCTGGAGCATCCAAGCCTTAGGTGTCCTAACTCGTTCATGTTCTCCTTCTCCTACCCTGCGAGCGACGCCGCGTAGGGCAACCTTAGCGAAACCCAAGATGACCTTGTCGAGCCTGTTGTAATCCATTTTCCCTAAGATGTACGTCTCAAGGCCCGAATAGGCCGCGCCGTGGAGAACCCCCAGGAAGGCCATGCGCTTAATCTGGAGGGCCGCGCGCTGATTCCAGAACCTACCTACCTAGCTCACGCCAGGCCGAACGGGTCGCATCCACTCGAGCTCTGATCTCAGCCCCGCAGCCCCCCGTGAGTTGTTCGACGCTCCCAAGATACTCCGTCTAGGCCTGCGGAACTCCAGGAAACCTCAAGATGGACCCAGACAGGGCGGCCCTCGTCGCAGTGTACCCTCCAGAGCCCACGAAGACGGGGAGGACCACCTCTTTGTCGGCGTTCTGGGCAAAGCCCCCCTGCTCGGATAACTTGTCATTGAGGAGGGTGTTGGAGGCGGAGGCGAGGGCCGCAGCACGGAACGTGTTGTTATCAGGAAGCGGATGAGTGTGAGAAACATCACCCGCGTAGTCTCCCACGGATAAGTCAATGAGCTGCTTGGCGCGCGGGCGCTCGATCAACGTCGACGCCTCAATGAGCGGCACCTCGGTCTCGCCAATCCGCAGAAAGTCCGGGTTGGCGGCCTGCAGCGCGCGGTTCCAGCCCCCCAGTTGCCGAACAGACGACCTCGCGAAAAGCTCGCGTGCATTGCCGTCGCCCATGCCAGCGCCGTGCCGAGGAACATAATAGGCGGTCTCGTTTCCTGCTCGAACCTCCATCACTGCTTCTTTGTGCCACTGTAAGAGAAACTGTTGATCCTGAAGGTCGGGGATGATAGCACCGACAACTTCAGCCAAGGCATCATGACTAGTGGACGGGAAAGCGTTGCTCATGTCCTTCTGCACCTGAAGGCGCGAAACGCCTAGCTTCCGAAGCCTCCAAGAGTGTGAGCGCGATGCGGGCTGAGCTCCCTGGCGAGATCGATGGCGCGCATGCCCGCGGGCGTGGCACGGCAGCTCGGGCTTCTCGTGGCGCGCGAACATGCCTCTGTGCCACGCTTTGCCAAAAGGGCAGGAACAGTGGATCAGCCGCATCGCTTTTGCCCCTTGCTTGGCATTGCCTTTGGACAATTGGAACGTCCGAGACCAATGCCACCGCGAGGGAGTTCGACGCGACATGCGAATCTGGCGAAACAGAGCCTGCAACCGCTCAGCAAGACGAGGACAAGGGACGTGAGGTCGCGGCCTATCTCCTCGATCTGGATCCGCAGCAAGTCTGCGACCATCACCTCCGCGGGCCTCGACGGAGGCCGTTCTCAGAATCGCCGGCCATATCTCTCCAGGCGCCGAATGAGACGGCGCAAAGCGACGGCGCGCCGCCTTCTCCAAAGCCACCAACTTCTGTGTCCAATGTGTGTACGCCGCCGACGACGGATGACCTCTGAGCTGCTTCCAATCGCCATCTGGAACATCCTGCTCACGAAGTGCCAACGCGAACTCCGGGGGGGTCTCTGGATCGGGGACGACGACAGCCGAGAACCCTCCCTCGCGGGCGCCAGCCTGCATGGTGTCGGTCCACTCGTCGAGGGTCGGCAGGTAGCGTGGCAGCGCATTGAATCGGCGTCGACGGACTCCGCGATATCTTGCACCCACCTGGAAAGCCAACTTCCACACGGTACTCGAGTGACCACGATCAGCGGCATGCTGGGCTTCTCGTAACATGCGGCCAGCATTCTCACGATCGAGGCTGTATCTCTCTCGACGTATCTCTCGATCACACCGACGAATGGCCATGCGATCTTCTTCAGTGAAGCAGTTGCGGCCCAGGGTGTGACACTTGAGTAGAAGCTCGCCTCGACGCTGCCGATGCTCAGCAGCGGGCCCAGTACGCGCTGCAGCTCGACAATCCTCAAGGGCTGACTCCCGAACGTCTTGAACCAGGTCCTTCCACGTCGCAGACGGGTCGTCCAGGCGGGCCAGGCGGGAGCTGCTTCTCCATGTAGTAGCGTGAGCCTCGCATCGCCTCTCAAGCTCTCCGACCAGCCCCAATGAGCCTCCGTCGCTGAGCAACTTCGCCATGCAATCGTGATCCCGTCGCGGCTCCAGCTCAGCGTCGGGTACGTCGAAGTGCAGCTTGTAGCGCAGCCTCCACAGCAATGGGCAGTGGCCCTTCGGCAGCGCATGCGGAATTTCCTGCAAGTTTCTCATAGCTCCCCTCATCGCGCAGCAAGAAACCGAACTCGAAATGGCCCCAGCCGGGGCCCAAAAGTGATCAGGGTGCGACGTGTGCTCGCTCTGCTGCCAGAAGTGCGTGGGGCCAGTGGCATAGTAGGAGTCCACCACCGCAAGCCCCTCCATGGACATGAGTCTCCATAATTCTTGACTGGTGAAGCTCTCTGCGCCAATGTTGTGGGTGCCGAGGTGTGCATCATCTGCCGCCTGCTGGACTGCGCCTCCGCCTGTCGCGCGCCTGCCAGACTCGCAATTCGAGCCAGCTCCTATCACGACGAGGCACCTGGCGGGGGCATTCTGGATGGTCTTCAGTATCCAGCTGGCCAGGCGTGTGACCGTCGATTTCCAATGATCCACCTGCATGCGCTGGGAGGGGGGAAATAGGCGACTATAGCGAGAATGCCAAACGAGTTGCTCCGAAGCCTCACCCGTCCCGCACGTCCCGCCAAGTCACTCGGCGGCTCATATATATGTTGGGTATGGCTGCGTCTGAATATTCTCTTGCGCAGGAACAAACTGCAGCCCGCCGACTTGTTAGTGATTTTGTTTTGCCATCCGAAGTCAAGCACCAGGTGTTTGGCACTCTGCTGTATCGTGACTCCGTCCCCAGGGCGCCTCTTTCTCTGCGTCGCTGGGCACATGATCAAGTCCGCAAAGCCAAGACGAGAAGAAATGTCGTAGGTACGCCATGAATCTGACATCGAGAGAAGATTTCAGAATACGGCTTGCAACAAAGAGGCCCACATGGTGGGTGGGAGCGGTACGCACGCGAGGTCTGTCCTGCGTGGGTCAGAAGCAGGGGGCCCGCAAACTCCCTGGTCTGGGCAAAGGGGCTGCGGAGGAGGAGGAGGAGGAAGAGAAGGAGGAGGAGGAGGAGGAGGAGGAGGAGGAGGAGGGGGAGCGTTGATAATTAATCATTTGGGTTGTGCTGGGGCTGCTTGGGGGCCTCAGGGGCCTGCCGCCATCAATGTTTGATGTGTGTGGCCCGCATTCGGATGTTTCTGGGTCGTTTGTGGGGCCGCGTTGAGACCAGGGGTCCGTGCTGGCATCGCCTTTGGGCGTGTGTCGTGCCGCATTGGGCCTCTGCGGCCGCGGTGCGTTCCCCAGGGGGATCCTTCGGCCGCCTTGGGCTAACCTCGGCACCCTCCTGGGCCCGACCCTGTCGGCGTGTGTGAAGGGTTTCTCCGTTCGACTCGTCTTCTCCGTTTTTTTTTTTCCCCCTCTCTCTCTCTTTCTCTTTCTCTTTCTCTTTCTCTCTCTCTCTCTCTCTCTCTCTCTCTCTCTCCCAGGGCCTCCTCCTCAAGCGCGCTATCCAAAGCGAAATTAAACGACGTCGTAGTGGAGTCGAAGGGAAGCCCCTTCCCTGTGATCCCTTCCCCGCAGGGGGGGGGGAGGGGGGAGGGGGGGGAGGGGGGGGGGGGGGCAGATACGACGCCCGCCGGAGCGCACTTTCCTCGAGCGGGCACGCACGGGATGCACTTCCTCCTCCTCCTGGTCCTCCTCCTCCTCCTCCTCCTCTTTTTCCTCCTCCTCCTCCTGCTCCCCTCCTCCTTTTCCTCCTCCTCCTCCTCCTCCTCCTCCTCCTCCTCCTCCCGCAGAGGCGTCCCAGGAGCGGGCCCGGAGTCAAAATACCACCCCCCTAGGGCGCATTTTCCTCGAACGGGCACGCCCGAGATGCACTTCTTCCTCTTCCGGGAACACGTCCCAAGTCAGAATATCACACTCCCGGGGCACACTTTCGGGTCGTGGCACCCCGTCGCGGGCCCTGGTCAGAGTGTGGAGAGCTCTGTCCTCCAGGGTAACAAATCCCTCTCCGTAGGGTGCCACTTCCCCCCCCCTTTGTTTGTTTTAGTCTTGCGAGACTCTTCCCCTCGGGGCTGTCCTAACCTAACCTCCTCCTCCTCCTCCTCTTTCTCCTCCTCCTCCTCCTCCTCCTTCTCCTCCTCCTCCTCCTCCTCCTCATCCTTCTCCTCCTCCTCCTGCTCCTCCTCCTTCTCCTCCTCCTCCTCATCCTCCGCTTCCTCCCCCCACTCCTAGCCCTTTCGATCAGGGTCGGCGGCACCGGCCGTCAGGCCTCTCCAATACCCGTCGTCCTCTACATCATCCTCCTCCTTCTCCTCCTCCTGTTCCCACCTTTTTCCGAGTTCCTCCTTCTAGCTCCTCCCATGGGGAGGCTTCCGCCCCCGCTCCGCCCCAAGATCCCAACAATGACGACAACTACTGAGTTCTGGTGGCCCCGCCTGTTTAGTAACATGAGATGGGACCATTTCGAGAATTCCTCTGAATCCTCTCGCAGGCGAGGCTCCCACTCGAGACGTTCTCAAGATGCATGCCTCGAGAACCCAAGTATGACGCCAGTTACATGTTATCGATTCTATCATCGGATTCATCACACAAGGTGGGGGGGGCCATGGGGAGGTGTTCCCGCCCGGCACTTCTTCTCAATTCACTGAAGAACGAAACTCCAATATCCTGCTCTAGACTTCGCCAAACTAGCAGCCCAAAGGCGACGACAAAATAGGATCCCGACGACCCACCTCGACTGAAAAAATATGAAGTGGAGACCAATACTTACGAAAGGGTTCCCGGTCCAGACCCCGCCGCCATACACTCACAGACGAAGCTCCCGCTCTAGGCTACTTCCAGGACAAACGTGACGCCACTCACAGGATCCCGATGACTCCTTCGGATTAGAAATGCGAGGCGGGGACCCTTTATGGAGCGCCTCCCGCTCGAGACTTCCCCTGAACAGACTAACAGACGAAGCTCCCGCACAATACCTCCTCCAGATCCAGCCCTCAGGAACACATACTTAACGACAAATCCAGGGCCCAAATGTGCCTAGAAACATGGAGCGGGGTGCCCATAGGGAGGGGGCTTCCGCTGGAGACTTCCTCGCAATTCACTCACGGACGAGGCTGTCGCTTGATGAGCGTGTGATCGTGAGAGTTTGAGTGGGTGAGTGAATGGGTGCGTGTGCGAGGTATTGATGTTGATGATGATGATGATGATGATGATGATGATGATGATGATGATGATGATGATGATGATGATAATGATAATGATGATGATGATGATGATGATGATGATGATGATGATGATGACGAAAATTGGAGGGTTCGAGATGATACTGATGATGGCAATGGCGATGGCGACGATGAACATGACGATGATGATGCAACTGATGATGATGCTGATGGTGATGACGTTGGTGTTTAAGATGATCGCGATCGTGATGATGATGATGATGATGATGAGGATGATGATGATGATGATGATGATGATGATGATGATGGTGATGATGATTATGGTGGTGTGGTGGTGGTGTTGATGGTGATGCGCGTGTGTGAATGTGACGGAAGCGAAGGGGAGAGGTGGGTGTGGAAGGTGAACGTGCGCGACGTGCCAACAGGAAATAAGAACACCACGTAGGGTGTCGGAAGATGTGTACAATGTGTTTGTCAGGTGTGCTTTGCTGTTGCGAGTTTGGTTTAATACATGGTGTGACACATGTATTAGTACATACATACGTACACATGCACACACAGCGGATCCACCCAAAACCCTGGGACTGTCTTTCATCCCAAATGTATGCTTGATGTTCCCAGGGCCCAGAATGCCAATGAGCCTCCAAAAGGCGTGCGCCGTGAAAGCAATCGCTGTCGCGATTGTTCTTGACGCCTGGGGTGTGGGCCTTCCGCCTCCTCCTGCAAGGCGTTAGGAAACAACTCCTGGGAAATCTTCGTGCAAACGATTAGCCGTTACAGGGCTCGATTGGAGGGCCACTGCGCTGGATCAGCCCGGATGACTCCCAGGATTAAGCCCGATTCAGCTGCATGTGGCGGGACTTTAGTGGATTAGGTCGGCTTTCGGTCACGGATATACCAGCGCCGATGCTAAATTGAACCTCCCAAGAGCTGCATCCTAAAATGCAAGGTGGATATGGAGAGCCAGCCCGAGGACCAGAGGCGTCAGCGGCGCCATGGTCTGAACGGCGCCGTACGACGGCGCAGCAGCCTGGGAAGGCAGGGCACCCAAAAGGCATGCGGTCTGCCACCTCCTCCCGCTTGTGGTGGTGCTGCTGCTCGTCCTCCTCTTCTTCCTCCTCCTCCTCCCCTTCCCCCTCCTCGTGTTTCTCCCCCTCTTCCTCTTCCTCCCTCGTGCCCCCATACTTGCCCGCTCGGAGGCGCGCAGAGTGGACCTGATCACGCACGGCGCTGCGCACCTAGACGGCGTCGCCGCCCGCCACGCAGCAACGCGAGCGCAGGCGCTGCGCATCCCATCGCCTGGTCGCATTTCGAACACCAGTCGCCCCTGCCCGAAGCACGGCAGCCCAGCCGCAAACGCAGAACCGCAGCTCACTCGAAGTGGGACGTGCGCCGCCCGAAAGCGCTGCGTGGCTGGGCCTGCAGCCGTGCGTTCGAGCGTGGCGCGCTGGTTGCGAGCAGCCTCGCCCTGCGGGCGCCTGGGCTTGCAGCGACCAGCTGGCCCAAGCTATTGTCGTCCACTGTCGTAGACTGAACCTGTTGGCCTGGAAGGCAGCCCTCGGCAGCCCGACCCCCTGTGATGCGATGTTTTTTGGCGGGCGCCAGCCGCGTGCAGGTTGGATGCTGCTGCCAGGGCGCCGCCACCGCAGGCCCCGCCCCAAGGAGAAGGCAACGTCGATTTGACCGCATGAACGCCGCGCCGCCGTGCGGGAGGCGAGGTCGGCCGCAGCACCGTGAGAACTCCTGCACCGAGATCCAATGACTCCCTCTGGCCATCGCTGGGACGTCCATTTCCTGTGTATTTTTTCCGGTCTCGTGCGTGGTTGTTTCGCCAAATGGTCGAGGATGCTCCTCGAAGGTCCTCGCCGAGAAGAAAATGCACACGTCCGAGCGATGCCAGGAATCACTCCCTTGCTCAAGGGGAGGGGCGCCTGCTGCTACTGGCGTTCGTCAAGCGCTGTTCCTGTGCACATCTGGATCGTCGACCTGAGAGCCTGCTGGCTCTGCTCCAAACCACGCGTCGTCCAGTCAGGCCGGTTCGTCCGCATAGGATGCACGAGTCTTGAGGCCCCGAAGCATCGACACGCCAGCTTGTGGACCACCTGGGCGTCCTCCAGCAGGGACACCTCGTCGAGCATCGTATTCTGCTTCTGCACCCCCCTCACCTTGACGTATTCTTTACCAGCCTGGAACATATCCCTATCCCTATGTTGGGCATCGCCTCATCACGATGGCGATACCTCATTTCCTCAGTTCCTGAGGGTGTATCCCTAAGATTGTCATCTGCTTTTAGCGTGTCAATCTTAGGGATAGGGATACGTTCGAGGCTGGTGAATTCTGCGCGGTGGGCCTGGCAACCGATCGGAGCGCCTAGCAATGTGAAACAACCGTCGGCTTTCGGCTGGACACCGGCAAACAGACCGGACAAGTTGCATGCCGTGTGTTGCACCAAGCCGAAGGGATGATCTCGCACTTCTCCAACTTCAGCCCGAGGCCCAGGCTCGTCGCTTTCTGCTGACTTCGATGCAAGGCCCGCGGCGTCGCGGCGAAATCGCCAGCCACCCAAAAGTCGCCGAGGCAACCGCATACAATGTCTAATCGCTCTTCAGCTCCTGCAACAGACGGTGAACGGCCAACGAGAACAGGAGAGGTCTAAGAACATCGCCCTGCTGGACTCTTCTGGTGGACGTCCGCACGCGGCTGCCAAAAAACATGTCCGAAGGGTCGCCATAACACCACCTAGCCCAATCCTCCAGACATGGCATGCCTTTTTTTCCGATCTCTTCCACGGAAGCAGACCGTTGCACACGATTGAACGCATTCCGAAAATCCATCAGGAGGACCGCTCGGTGCTGGAGTAGGGCTGCTAAACCATCCTCCCGCTCATCCTGCTTCTGGTGCTTGACGCCTCGCTCCTGCAGCCACGATCCACACTACTGACACTGCGGCCGCTGCTGCTCCCACTTCTGCAGTAATTCTTCATGGTTCCTCGACTCATTCTGATCCCACCGTTCTTGATGATCCCGCCAGTTCTCACCCTCGCCCAGCTGCAGTCTCAGATGGGTGACGGTGTCTCGCCTCTCTGTGCCAGAGTCTGTGATGAGAGCGCTCTGCTGCTGTGTCTTGTCGCCTGCGGCTCCCTGGGCCTCTTGCTGCCTGGCCCTGCGAATGAGGTGGGCCCGCCGGGCCTGGACGCTGCCCGCCGATGCTGTACCGCTTAGCATGTCCGGCTGCATGTGCACACTCGGCGGTGGACAAACCTCCCCTTAGTAAACCTCCCCTTAGCGAAAAGCGCCTGGGACCGAAACCGACGGACCGACCCGCACAAATGACGGCCGCGACGCCCTCTCGGGAATCGAAAACGGCCAATTCCTTATCGACGTGTCAGGGTAGGAGGTCTATCCACCCCCGACACACCATGCCGAGACCGTTCCGGGCTGGCTGAGGCGCACACCCGGCCTCCACCCGGCCTCCGGCCGCCACTGGGCTACAGCTGGGCTGCTGCAAGAAGGAACGCCAAATAAGGAACGACACCCCTTTGGGGCCCCCAGAAGCGCCTGCGTGCACGAGGAGGGCTAGAGGAACAACCACGGAATGACCCAAGTTGGGCGTGGCTTAATGGGGGGGTCACGAATGGGGGGGTCAGAAAAGGTCCCCTTTCGTGCCCCTTTCGGGCCCCTCCAGAGCCCTAGGGGGCTCGTTTAGGTACCATTTGGGTACCTTTTCGGACCACACTCGCCGCCCCCCCATTTATGATCCCCCATTACGCAGCGCCCAACCAAGGAACAGCGAGTTCCTTCCGGACCCAAAACGACCCTTATATCAGCGTCTTGACTGCAGGGTCCGCCCCTCGGGAGGTGGCGCGCGCGCGCGGGCGGGCGCGGCACCAGGGGCGCGCGCGGGGGCACCAGCCCCCCAGTGGGGGAGACCGCGGTTCGGGCCCCCGATGGCCCTCCCACTCCCACTCCTTCTCCTCCTGCTGCTGCCGCCCCTCCTCCAACGTGTCCATATCTCGCTCTCGTCCTCCAACTCCCTCCTTCATCCGCATCATGCACGCAGTCCGTCTCCCTGTTACTCTCCTCCTCATCCTACGCCTTCCTCTCCTCAAAAGTCCCCCTCCTCGTGCACTTCTGGCTCATCCTTCTCCTCCGGCTGCTGATTATCCTCCTCTTTCTCTGCCTATTCCTTCTCCTCCTCCTCTTCCTCCTCCTCCTCCTCCTCGTTCTCACCACCACAACCACCACCATCTTCATCACCATCCTCCTCCTCCTCCTCCTCCTCCTCCTCCTCCTCCTCCTCCTCCTCCTCCTCCTCCTCATCGTCACCATCACCATCACCATCGCAATCACCATCACCATCACCATCACAATCACCACACCATCATCATCATCACCACCACCACCATCATCATCATCATCATCATCAGCAGCAGCATCATCATCAGCATCGTCATCATCATCTGCCATCTGCTCGCACTCCTCCTCCCTCCATCCGCATCCTTCCAACTCCATCCCTCCCTCCCTCCTTCCCTCCCGCCCACGCTCCCTTCTCTTTTTTCTTATTCCTCCCCCCTCCTCCTCCCACTCTCTTTTCCTACTCCTGATGCGGCTCATCCCTTTTACTCTCCTCTTCCTCCTCGTTCTTCAGGGCACAATCCCGGTCAGTCGCTCGAGCTGCGCCCCGAGGCAACGGCGGCGGCCTCGCTTGGGCATGACAACCGCTGCAAAGGAACCCTGAAACCCGACGGTGCGAAAACAGCGCAACATCGCAAAGAACCACGACCGGAGCCCTAGACCTGATCTTTCTGCGGCGTTCTTCGAGCCTGGCCGATCCGCGAGGGGCCCGGGGCACGCAGCCTGGCAAACACGCCCAGCGAGAGAACTGCAACGCCCCGATCTCACTGTGCACCGCAGGGGCGCCCGATCGTGTGGGCTTTCGGCCAGCCCGCCTCCGCGCCGAACCACCGGTGGAGGGGGCCGGGCAGGTGGTCCACCACGGTGGCGAGGACGCCCCAGCCTGTGGGGGAGCGCGCAAGCCGCGAACGCTGGCGCGAGGAGCCCTGGCCGGAACCCGTCCTGGGCCCGAGGTCGGCGCACACGCCCTCCCGGCCGGGCCCAGAGCTTGACTCTCGCATCCGCCGCGAGCCGCAGAGCACGAGCGCGGTGGTCTTCTGCCGCCAGGGGCGTCGTTGTGGAGACCCCTCGGCCGCCGCGGCTGGACCCTCCTCGAGACGTCCTCGCCAGAGCGCGCTCCTGGACAGCTCGGGAGGCAGGGAACACACGGGGGGGTCGGCAGCCCCAGGGCCCCCTCGCCGCCGCGAGCCGCAGAGCAGGACGGCAGGCTCTGGGCGAGGCGTGCGGGCTCCCGGGGCCCGGCCCCCGGAGGGCAGCGGAGAGCGGCTCGAGATGAAGCGCCGGTCGACCCCCCGGAAGCCTCGATCGAGCGCGCCGTCCTCCGACCCCGTGCGCCCATCCCCGCACGTGCAGCGTATGGAACCCATCCGCCGACCCCCGCTTGCCAGGGGTGAGAAGGCGTGTGGCACATATGGCTGTCCCCCTCCCCGAAATCCCATCCCTAGGAGGGGTGTTCGGGTGGGTGTTCGGGCTCCTGACCCCCAAACGCCCCCCTGTGGCCTCTGGAGCCTCCAACGAGCTCCAGGAACTCCCCTGAGAGCCCAAACGACGTGCCCAGATAGTCCACGCGAGCATCGACCTAGCCCAAGGTAGTCCCACGAGGGCCCAAGGTAGCTTCGAGACACTCCACAAAGCCCCCAAGGCCCAAGACGGCCCAAGAATGCTCCCAGTGGACCGCCGAGAGGACCCCAACAAGCAAATCGCCCGATTCCGAAAGAAAACGTGCATTTTCAGCACAGTCGCGTTGCTGGTCTAAACAGCGTCCAAGACGGCTCAGGAAGCCCCCGATATTGCTCCAAAACGGCCCATGCAGCCCCCGAGAGGGCCCCAAGACGGCCCAAGAGGGCCACAAGACGGCCCAAGAGGTGCCCAAGAAGGCCCACGGGGCCCCCAACAGGGCTCAAGAGGGGCCCAAGGGGGGTAACTGAAACTAGAATTTCGAACCCTCCGCCCCAACAGGGCCCCCGAGACTGCCAGCAGGCGCCCAAGAACCCCCCGAACGGCCACAAGGAGCCCACAAGAGCCCTCCAGAGGCTCCCAAACGGTCTCCAAAAGATTTCCACAATCCTCACCGTGTACTTCTTCCCCCTGTCTGGGGGTCGGCCGAATGGCGTAAACCTCTAGGATCACGACGGAGGTTTCCTACCATTTCTGGCCTCCAGGGGCCCTCGCCGGGCCTCGGGACCATCAAACAAAAATCGGGATGGAAAACCGGCCCTTTGGAAAGAGTCTGGATTTCTCGTGACAGCGTGTTTAACAAATCCGCCGACCTGTCGGCGTGTGCGAGAGGCTGTTTCGTTTGACTCGTCGTCGTCGTCGTCGTCGTCGTCGTCGTCGCCGTGGCCGTTGCCGCTACTAGATGGGGTCGGGATAGATGCGGTCGGAAGATCGCGCCGCATCGCCGATACATCGGCGATGTATCGGCGATGCATCGGGGCAACGTCTGTGATGCACTGGCGACGTCGGCGTGGAGAAACTCGGGCTCCACATCGAGCCGCATCGCCGATGCATCGGCGATGCGGCGCGATCCTCCGACCCACCTCCGATGCTGCACTGCCCGAGCCGGACTTCGGCTCGCTCCGTGGGGGCCTCGGGGCCCGATGCCGGGGCAGCACACGCCGGGAGGGACATACGGCTACACAGCCCCGATCTCCGGGGGAGGCTGTGCCCGACCGCCCGGCCCCGCCCCGCCCCCCCCCCCGAACTTTGTTGCAGTACGACTCACGGCTATGTCAGAGGTTCGGCGCCTCACGCGTTAGGACGTGAGGCCGTGGTTACGCCTTCCCAAGCGCCTGAACCAAAAAACTACGGTGATACAACATTGGGGATGTTTGTATCATGTGTCTCCCCCTGCTGTCTGCACGTGCGAAGCCTACGAAGATACGACATTGGCGAATTTCGCCCCCCACGGCCTAGCGCCTCGCGCGGCAGGGCGGAGAGCAGCAACGCCCACAGCCAGGGGGCGCCGGGGCTCGCGCGGCCCATGGGCGGCCACAGCGTCCCGGGCGGCGGATCACGTACGGTGTCAAGGGGCGATTTTGAGCCTCGCCGGCTCGAGGGCGGCGGGCGGGCCCTGCGATCCAGGCGTGACGAGTTTTGACACGCCGCGGCGTCGTTGCCCAGTTTCGGGCCCCGGGACTGGCACAGATCGATCCAGCTCGGAAAATGCAGCAGAAAGATGGGGTCTAGGGCTAGAGTCGTGACGTTTGGCGCTGTTGCAATTTTCTGCTCGCCACCTGCGGTGCCAAGGGCGATCCTGGGCCTGGGGGCAAGGGCATGCCCGCGCCGTGAACAAAAACGCGACGGAAGTTGCTGCTTGTGGTTGGCGCAGTCAGAAAACGGTCCCCAGGAGGAGGCCCAAGGCCTCCAGAGGGGCTCACGCCGCGGCAAACATCACGCGGTCGGGGGTCTGGTCTGGGGGACGGCGGGCGGGGGCGGCGGGCGGCGGCTGCGGGCCGCCCGAGCGGCTGAGGCCTGGGGCCTCGAGGCCTGGCCTTGCGTGCACCCTCTTGCGCGTGCGGCTGCGCTCGGAGGGAGTGGAGAGGTGACAGGAGGGAGGGGGGAATGGAAGGAGACAGAGAGAGAGAGAGAAAGAGAGAGAGAGAGAGAGCGAGGGAGAGGGAGGAAGAGAGAAGGCGGGAGGGAGGGATAGGGCGAGAGGGAGGAAAGCTCAGAGGCCCCTCGGGCCAGAATTTCAGGGCCCTGTTGGGCGACCTCGGGGGCGGGGCAGGAGGAAGGGGAGGGGGTGAAGGAGGAGGGGTGAAGACGGGAATCGCTCAGCGAGGATCGCCCACCAAGGGAGAGGAGGAGGAAGAGAAGGAGGAGGGGCGAAGACGAGAGGGGCGGCCGATACGGGAACGGGGGGCGCGGACTGGGGAGGGGGATGAGGACGGGAGAGGACCAGGAGCAGGCAGACAAGGGGAGGCTATGAGAACGGGGGAGGACAGGTCGACGACCTCCAGAGCGTATGTAAACGCCAACGTGTGCTTGTCCACCAATCGGGAGCGGCCAAGAGGGGGGTGTCCAAGAGGGAGAGGTGCAAATCATGACCGGCGGCATGTGCGCGGCCCAGCGGGGGGGCCAAGGACGTAATGAAATAAGAAGAGGCGCCATGAAATCTGGAGAAATATCATGAACCCCGCCATGATATTCACCCCCCGCTAGTCATCACCCCCCTCTTTTCCGCCCCCGACCAACGTGTGCTCGTCCACCAAGACCGCTCAGCACGACGCCGGGACTGCAATGAGGGCCGAAGGCGTCGTGCCATGGGCGGAGCGGAGCGGGGCAACACATCGATTGGGCCAACACACGTCCTGAGGATCATCGAGCAAGGGGAGGCGAGGTGGGGGAGAAGCAGGGGACCGCGGACGGAGGAGGGCCATATCAAGTTCGTTCTTCAGACTTATGTTATTTTCTTTTTGCGGGGTAGGGGCCTCTGGAGGGTTCCAGAGACCTCCCGAGCCCTCGGAGGGGAATAGGGAGGGGTAGTAGGTGGCTTATGAGGGGGAGCCGGAATCTCTGGATGGAGAAGGAGGAGGGGGAGCGACGTGACGAGGACAAACTAGGTGCGTTGGCGTCATATCTGATATCCTACCCATCCCACCCATCCTTTCTCATGGCGCTGATTTTTCCATAACCGCCAACGCGCGTCATACCAGACCTGGAATTCTAAGCAGGACCCCGTCGTGCAATGCGCAATCGGAAAAAGGGAACTGCGTACATTCGAGGAGGAGGAAAAGGAGGAGGAGGAGGAGGAGGAGGAGGAGGAGGAGGAGGAGGAGGAGGAGGAGGAGGAGGAGCGGGAGCAGGACCAGGACGACGGAGGAGGACAAGGACGAACTGCAGCCGCAGTAGCGCGGGGGGGACCCCCGGGCCCCCCGCCAGGTCGGCAGGCACGCGCGCGCGAAGGCCGGAGCAGCGAGAGGAGACCAAGTGTTTTCAGGACTGCGACTGGTCTCTGAGGGGTCAACAGGCCGCTGCCCGCCTCCGAAGCAGCAGGCCCCTCTCGAGGAGAGAAGGGAACCGAAACTGGAAAAGCTCAAGGGATGCCGCGGAGCTGCCCCGCAGAGCTGCCCGAAAAGTGCCCCCCATCAGGACGGGGAGGCAAGGGGCACCTCTGTGAGGAAGAAGAAGAAGAAAAAACGGCAGCCCAGAGGAGGCCCCGAGAGGGGGCGGGGCAATCAAAAAACTGTCAGATCATCCCGCGATGAGCTGCGCGAAGGTACAACAGGCGACGAGACGGCTGTGCGGCCGCCGCTCGCCTTCGTCATTAGGAGCGGGCCCTCCCACCCTGTGCAGACCCGACCTCAAGAATGGCGTCGAAGCTTCAAAAGCACAAATGCCACGCCCGACAAACATATTAATTAGTATTAAGACCGGGCCTCGTCGGCCGTAGTCTGACCAGCTAAGCGGGCTCCAACCATAGACAACTGTAACAAATCTGTCTCGCTGGTCGGGGACTGCTCTGTCCACGAGCAACATGCACTGACGAAAGCACGCAAGTAGGAAAAATCTGCGTTTAAAGAAAGATGAACACGGCGGCAATCTCAGACGATGATCTCCTGGGTTCCGTTCGCCCTGTTCTTGCAAAATCCATTAGGAATGATGTCGAAGTACCCGTTGTGCAACAGAGGGTTCCAATGCATGATCCTCGACTCTCCGCACGAAAAGTCCTCGGGCCCGGCACACTCGCGGAAGCGGCACATGACCTTGTTCTCGTACTCTCCCTCCGGAAACCACACCTGGGAGAACAACTACATAGCACGCACTATATATATATATATATATATATATATATAGTTATACGTGTATATATATACACATATGAACTATGTATATATATATATATATACACGCGCAACACTGCATTGGCGATTCGCGCCATGCACCTTGGTCCTGGAAGTCAGGGATGCATGCAGAAGGGCAGGAAGGTACGACAAAACATTTGGCTATAACTTCAACTCTTTGTTGCCTCTTCCTACATCGTAGTCTCACTATTGTGTTCATTATCCTTCGTTCATGTTTGCTCTCCCTCTTCCTCCTTCTCGCCCTACCCTGTAAATTGTTCCCAAATATCATCGCTTTTTTGTGAGAGGCTCCTCCGTGGATTGCCTCTTGTGGGGCTCACACAAGTGCTTGCAGGACTTCTTGAGGCCGTCTGAAGGCCTCCTGGGCGCCTTCTGGGGCTCTGGGGGCTTCCTCGAGCCACCCTGCTTCCAACCGCAGACGGCCTGAACGACCAGGTCACGATTTGCAATGCTTCGGGGGGCGTTTTGGGGCCGTTTTGGGGCTCTCTTGGGCTGCCTGGAAGCCGTGTGGGCAGTCGTGAAACAATGCTCGAGCCGCCTGGGCGGTCTCGGACGCGCAAAAGACAGAAGAACAGACCATTCCCCCAATAATAGAAAAGCAATCGGACATCAAAGTTTTTCTGCGTTCCGAAAGCCTCTAGGCCGTCTTCTTTGATTCGTCTTCGGTCGTTTGGTGGGTGCTTGGAGGCTCTAGCGGCCCTGCTGAAGTTGTTCGGCCTCCCTCCTGACCGATTTGGGGCCATTGCCTGGGCTTCCATGAACCCGGAAGTCCGGGGGGGACCTTCTGCAGGGGCGTCCAGAAAGGCCCCGGGACTACTGTCAGCAATGGTGTGGGTACCCTTTGGTTTGGCAAGCTTCCTGTCAAGTCCTTCGCACGATTCGCATCAAAGGTGGGTAGGCACAACTCCGCGCCGATGGCCGTGCCAGGCTCGAATTTCAGCTGGCCGCTCCAGATCATCCTCAACAGGCGCCTATTGTCGAGAACCCGCCCACGTACGACCAAGTCTTTGCTCGCATCGATGCCGACAGCGTCGCTGCGCACCCTTCCGCGTTCCCTTGTTCCAGCTCGACGTCCAGGCAGCGATAGGCAACGCGCAGAGGTTCAACCTCCTGTCGACGGGCCTGCGCGGAGGTTGTTCGGAGGGGAGCTGGCAGCACCTCCTCGAAGACTTCAGGCACCCAAAGCGCCGTAAGGCAGGACTCGTGGCGCTGCCTGCGCCTGCGCCGCTACTTGCGCCGCCGCCGCCGCCACCTCCACCAACTGCGCTGGCGTTGACGGCGCCACCGCAACCCGCGCAGGCAGCGGCGCAGGAGGACGACGACGACGACTCCAGCTCGGGCAACAGCTCAGACGAGAGCGGCGAGAGCAACAGGCAGGGCAGCGGCGACGAGGAGAGGTAGGTCAAGCGCTTTAAGCTCGAGGTTCAGAAGATGGAGGGCGCCAGAGTCAGTGGGCTGCGCGTCGCTGCGCCTGAGCCATCGTCGCTCTTGTAGAATATGGATAAACAAGCGAATTCAAACAGCCGTTTCTGCCGTCGGGGCCATCATTCTTCTGATCGTCGCCATCGCAGCGGCCATCCACGCGGGCCCTTTGCATTCCTGCGGCGTTGTCCTTGCTTGGGTCTCGCATGCCGCCCAGCATCCCTGCAGGTGGTTTCTTCTCGTGGGTTCGCATTCCAATATATGCGGGCTGGCTTAACTGGCCGCTTCTGCGGTAAACAAACAAGCAGAAGCACCGCCGCCATTCTTCAGGTCGCCGCCACCACAAGAACCATCAACGGACTTTCTTGCGCTCCTCCTTTCTTATCCCGTGAAGGACTTTTCATGCGTGCTTGCGTCTCTGCAGTTGTTTGCCTTGCCTGCGTCGCGCATTCCACCCCGCATCCCTGCAATCGCGTCGCTCCTTGGGTTTTGCATATTACCTGGCGCCCCAGCGGTGCTGTTCTGCATCCGTGTATGTCTTGCCTTGCCTGGGCATTGCGTCCCACCTTGCACCCTTGCACTTATTTTTCGATTTGGCTTGTGTACCTTACCTAGCGCCCCAGCGGTGCGTTCGCGCATCCTTGCATGAACTGCCTTGTCTGGGTCTTGGATTCCACCTTGCATCCCTGCAGTTGCCTTGTCGCTGCGGTTTTGCATCTCACCTAGCGCTGGGCTGTCGTTGGACTTCCTGGCCGCCCATGCGTATCAATGCGCTTGGCAGTAGGGTTTAACAATGGCCGCCGACTTTGCGATCTTGCCCAATGGTAACCCGCTTCGGCGAGATTGGAGAGACCGTTGCCGACAAAACCTGCGTCGCGAGCGGCGACGAACACGAAGCCGGGGAAGTTCCCGAAAGCCAGATCGAGATTGTCGATTTCATGGCCGCGGCGCGCCGCGCCGCAGACGGCGCCCGTGCAGCCCTGGCGCTGTTCGACATTCAGGAGAACATCCCAAAACAGGAGTGGGCCGACATCGTCAAGGCCACCCAGGCGAAGGACTGCGCCAGCTTCCTCCCTCTCCCCAAGGTTGATGTTTTTTTTATATTTTTACATCTGCGCAGCTTTCAATCGTCTCCAGACTGCATGATCACCCCTTTCTTACATGAGTTGTTTGCTTTTGTTTGTCTCTCTCTCTCTCTTTCCCTCTCTCTCTACATGAATATAAAGATTCATAAAATGTGCATCCAACTGATCAAAGCAATCACCTTCCAGTCGCCCCTGCCGGAGAACTCCGAGGCGACCGTCCTGGCGCAGGACAGGGCCGGCACCGCCATGACCATCATCGAGACAATTACCTCTAAATCTCCAGCGCCCGACTCCGAAGTTCGCGCCGCGCGCGCGGGCGCGGCGATGGCGCGCGCGCGCCGCCCGCGATGAGCGGCGTCGCGGGCAAGTTCGCGACGTGGACCCCGTTGTAGCCGCGCTCGCAACGAGGCGGCGGCGGCAATGGCGGCTCGTGGAGCGCGCCCCCAGACGAGTTGAAAACTGGCGCTGAATCAGCACGCCCCAACAGACGACAGCCATAACCGAATGGCGTTGAGGATATGAAACAACATCCGCGACGGGCCTGACACGCCGATCGCGGGATGGCCAGGGGCATGGTTGGCTTCATGGCTAACGACATGGCGCGGGCAAAGCTGGGCGCAGAGACGAAGCGCCTCTTACCCATGCTCATGAGCGACCTCAAGCCCGCGCTTGCGAACGCGATCGTGCCCATGAACATGCCGTTGCTTCTGGAGTTCGGCATCGCCCTCCTGGGGTGCCCAGGTCTTGGGGAGACGCCAGCGTTCATCGCTCTGGTCATGGCCATTGGGCGGTACATGGTCCGCAACCGCGGGGCCGCTGGCAGGCCGGGGCGGCCTATCCCGTCGCCGCGAGCGCGGTCGGAAGCGCGATTGCGATGACAATGATCTTCAGCACATAGATATATCAACCATCCAGGACTTCCTCGACGCGTCGGGAGAGACCGCAGAAGACGCGCGCTGCAACGATTGCAGGTTCCGCTCAAACCGAATGAGAAGTATAGCAGACGGCACCGTCAACGAAGAAGACGAGCCCGAACCGGTCGTTGGTCCTGATATGCCGTTCGACCCGACTTGCTCTACAAGATGACGCGAACTGCATTCGGTTTTGCGCGCGAGCTCACGGCGTGGCTATCGTGAAGGGGCCTGGCGCGATGATTGGCGGCAAGCGCGGCGTGTGCCTGAGGCTGCCGAGCAAGAATGGAAACGCCCCCGCGTTCCGCTGCGCCGAGGATGACGTCGCTTCCGATTGGCTGCCGGAGACGAACAATCACTTCCCCAACAAGTTCAAGAGGGGCGCCCACGCATTCTAGCGGACTCCCAGACCCGCAATGAGCAGGCGCAGAGCATGATCGACGCGGCCCCCACGAAGTACGACTTACACGTGCATTTCGCCGACTCTATTCACGAGGCGAACCAGGATCTCAAGAGCCACTTCGAGCCCTGCTCTGGCGGCACGTGTGGCAATCGCACTCCGAGCGCGCTAGCGTCGGGGGGCCCGGCGCCGCGGGCGTCGGCGCAGCCGCCGCCCGGGACTTTGGCGCCCCGGCCGCTCGGCGCATGCTCGCCCGCAAGACGCCGGCGCCCCCTCCATCTCAGCGGCGCGCTGTGAGTCGCGCCGCCGGCAGCAGCGAGGGGGCGCCGCCCGCGCCTCCTACTCGCGCCGACGTGGGCGACGGCCAGGCACGCACCCCACTGGGGAGTTCGTAATGAGCTCCTTTGCGAGCGCGAGCGCCCGGCCGACTCGCGCAGTGGCACAGCTGGGCCCCCGGCGACAGTGCTCGCGAGACCTGCGAAAGATGCTGACCAATGATCAGAGCTTGCGTCACGCGGCCGCTTCTGTTCATCATTCCTGTGCATCGCTGCCACCTGGCAGCATTTGGCCCAAGAGACGAATGCTCCAACGCGCGACAGCGCGCGGTCGCGCGCCCGGGTTCGGGTCTGCACGGATGCAGCGCCGACCCCGCGACGCCCCCCCCTGCTCAGAATGGTCGAGACATGGTCTGCGTTGGCGAAATTGTAGCGCGGCAAAACCTTGGCGCGATCCCTCGCTTAGTAGTTCCGCTGCAGGCACTGCGTGAACATGAACATGTGAATGAACATCGTTCTGCGCTGTGAGCTCGGGGGTCTGCTGACCCGGGTCAATCTGATCCCGGGCCAGTCAGGCCTGGCAGAATCCCGCAAGATCCTCGGGGGTCCCGCGCCCAAGCCCGGGCCAACGAAGGGCCCTGCAAGGTCCCGCAGAACCCTGCTCCCGAGCCCTGGTCAATGCGACCCTGACCCTGCAGGAACTGGCAAGATCGGGCGCTCTGGCTGACCCCCGCTTTCACTGGCAACCGTCGTCTCAAGGCTCCCGATCAGCCCCCTCGAAGGTTTCGGCCTGCCGCGCCTCCGCCCGTGCTTCGAGCGCTTCCAGGGCACGGTGTCAACAGGTGACTACTCGCCGTCGTCGATGGAGGACGCGTCGGGGCAGCACTTGCCCCCCGCGGCCCCGGGCGCAGACTGCGACGTGGGCGTCGACGCTTAATTTCATGATGTTGCCGCGCCGTCCGAGGGGGATCTCTCGCGGGAGTCTGGCCGCGATTCAGCGGGCGATCGAGCCGACGATGACGAGATCATGGCAGCGCAGGGCGCAGAGGGCCAGAAACCAAAAGAGGGTAGCGAAATTGACTCTGATGCTCACTGCAATGTCCGTTCAGACGGGAGAACCACAATGCCCGACGAAGACGACGCGCTGGAAAACGTAGACTCGCGGGTGGATCCCGACAAGGAAGAGGATATTGATGCGGGGGACATCGCTTTTCTTCGTGACTAGAGCCACGGCGGGCATCGGCCCGCCTGCATTGAGTTGGGCGCCGGAGATGGGCACGGGAAAAATGGGTACTATGCCCAACAGAAAATGTTGTCCAAAACCAACAGCGGCCGCTGTTGGGCGCGCGGCCGTCTGTCTCAAACAGACACGGGCCGCGGCACGGCGAGTCCTGTTCTAAGTGAAAAAGAACTGCCGTTGCGCATTGAACCCGTTCTTTCCGCGGCAGAATTAGCGCGTCAAAACATGCGTTCAGGCCATCCAATCCGGTCGTCGTCGTTCTTCGTGCATCGTTCCAGCCTTCTGAACAACTGCGGATAACCATGCAAAAGGGAAACCAATCGAGATTTGTTCCCGCGGACACAACATGTGAGACTTGCAAGACTCATTTTGTCCGACGCCCCCTATTGCCGCGATGTTCTGTGGAGGTCGACAGGCGGCGCCCCGTTCGCCCGCGCATCCCGCGGGCGCCCTACATGAAGAGCGCGGTCGCGGGAGCGATCAAGGCGGTCAAGGCGCAGCGGAGCTATCCTCGCGGCAAGCGGCAGGCGGCGCCTCGTCGGGCTGCGGCGGCGCTCCACAGTGGAGCATCAGCGCGGCCCGCCCCCGAGGGGAAAGGGCTGCCTCGCCAGGAAGGCGCACGCGAAGCGGCCCGCGAAGAAGAAGAAGAAGAAGGCAATGGCCCCGCGAGCCAGTCACGGAACGAAGGCGGCAAAATATCGGAAAGAGGAACAAGTCGCGGGCAGGGCCTTGAAGTACTTACGCGCATCGAGCAACAAAGGCATCGTGAACGTACTGGTACGCCGCGGCATTCTGCATGACGCGACTGGTTGGCAGTGCCCTTTCTGCAAGCATGGGGTCCTCTGACCTCTGGCGCCCATTGAAGGGCGGGGGAATCGGTGCAAGTGCATCGCGAAGAAGCGTCAAAATCTGTTCCTGCCGCACAGCGGGCGCCTGATCATCAAAGTCAGGAATGGACCCAAGCAGACACCTCTTCAAGACCAGGCAGGCCGAGGCACTGCACTGCGCCATCCTGAACATCCCTCAGTCCACGGCCCGCTGCGCGACGGGCCTGAGCCACAAAACGATCGGGGACACCGACCGCGCGAGCGACATGGCCAGCAGTCTCTACGTACGGGAGATGGAGAAGACCATCAAATTCGGCAGTGGCCCAGGCAACCTGACGTGGTACGGCGTCGAAGCAGACGAGGTGGACATCAGAACGAACATCGCCGACGATGGCGGCTCGTCGCCTCCGGATGCCACAGTGGCCTGGGAACAGTGGGGCGGCGTCCAGCAGCGCGGTGCCCCGCGGACGCATATTTTGACGCGTCTGAAACCCATGCAGGCAATGACTCGGGCGCCTGGGCCAGGTCTCATCAGGGAGCCAGGGTGTAAACATAAACAGACTGCGCAGAAGCACCTCCAGAACCGCAGCGTCATCTTTCGCGCGGGCTGTGCCCGCGCCTGCAAACTCAAAGTCGCTGGGGTGCTTCACGGCCACGTGGCCCACATGAAGACGAAACAGACGGACAAGAGCGGGAAACCTGTTAAGCGGTTGCGCGCCACGGGAAGTTCGCGTGGGGCCCGCCCGAAGTGCGCCAAGGTGTTCAAGTACATCGTCCCAGGGACGAAAAAAGCTGTGAAGTGAATAAGGGGCACACACATGGTAGATCGCTCCTGGCAGCTTCTGCGCAGCTACCTGAAGTGCAGGTCTGCGGCCGTTGGCAGCGCGTTGCTGCGCGACCGAGTTCGGTCTGCTCGGTGGGCCCACTTGCAGCGGGCAGACGATGTTTGCTCCAAGACGGGGGGGATGCTGAAGCACCTGAGCACATGAGCGCACCGCTGCGGGGACGCATCGGCATCGCCCGAACCGCGGGCGACGATCCAGACCGCTGGCACCATCGCAGGACACGGGCGTCCATTCACAAAGCAGGGCCCGCTGTTGCGGGGCATTGGATCGTGCCGACATGGGCGTGTCGGTGATGCCAGATCTGCACCTAGGTGGAGTGCGGTCTGTTTCGGAAACACTAAAGGCAGCGCCAGCTGCGACATCGAAGCGTTATGCAAATAATGCGATGCCGAGGGGGGGTCGGTGGAGGCGGAACAGGCGGAGCAGGCGGGGTGAGCATATATATATATATATATATATATATATATATCAATACATATAAATATGTATAGATATATGTGTGTAACATGATTATATAGCGCCCAATATCTACTTGCCATGGGGCCTAATGCGTAGCGCGCAAGAAGGGCCGTGCCTGAATGATCGGGTCCTCGGGCCAGCAGCCCACGCATTGACTGCCGAAGTCGCAGTGGGTCTGGGTATCCGGGCTATGAAGGCACGTTCATACCGTATCTCAAGCAAGGCTAGCACGAATTCACTGCACAGGAGGAACTTTCTGTTTGAGCCCCGATGCCGTTCCCTGCCACAACTGTCCCCACTAGCCAAGAGGAGGCGAGGGATAGGATAAAGAGGGCGTGGAGTCAAAGCAGGGGGAGAGGGGCCATGTGAAGCCAGAAAGAAGGGAGGAAGGATGAAGAGGCTGAAATAGGGAGGTGGGAATAGGGAGACGGAGGAGGGGAAAGAAAGGGCAAACCAGAAGCAAGAGGACGGGGACCGTCTTGAGCCTCTCATGGGCCGTCTTGGTGCCCTCTTGGGCCGTCTGGAACTCCCCTGGGGGCCCTTTTGAGCGTCTGACGGCTTCTGGGGCTCTCTTGGGTATCCAATGAGTGGGCCGGAGTGAGCTCCTCTCGGAACAACTTTGGAGCCCTTTGGTGCAACCTTCGGTCTAGCTCGAGGGCCTGTTCGGGCGTCTTCGGCGCTCTTACAGCAGGACGTGCGAGCATGCGAAAATCACAGGTTAAACGGGCTAAACCATACAAAGAAGTCTAATCGTTTCTGCCGTGTGGAAGCCTCTCACCTCATCTCAGGACCCCTGTAAAGTCTGTCAGGGCCGCGTTGGGGCTGCATTGAAAGCCTCGTAACCTTGCTTCGGGCCTTGTTGGGCAACCTTGGCTGCTTCGGGGTCGTCTTCGGCGGTGCTGGGCTCCTCTTGCGCCGTCTGCGGGCCCTCTTGGGCCGTCTGGACCCCGGGGGCCGGGGGGGCTTCCGGTGGAGGCCCCGAGGGGGAAGGCGACCCTACTGTACTCCAGCAGCCACTGGCGGTCTTCTGCCCCGCGACCTCTGGGGCTGGGCTTCCCGTATGCACCCCTACACATTTGCACACATATGTGTATACATATTGATGGATATACACATATACATACAAATACTTTATATATAATGTGTGCATGTCGGCTACCCCTCAATACTAAATCAGCATCGGGTTGGGTGCGGACAACTTCTGAAACTCATCGGGTCTGGAGGATGCATCTTGAGCTGCAGCCGCTGAAGGAAGTTCAAGAACACTCTGATAGCCCTCTGAACACCATAAGAAGACGGATCCTCATCCTAGACCAGGCTGACCCCTCCGTGGCAGGGCAAAACCCGGGCCCGGCATCGGTGCAAGTGCATTGCAGGCGACCCCCAAGCACCTCCGTCCCTGCGTGATAGTAGCCGGTCTCAGTCGGCAAGCAGGTGCCGCTGCCAGAGAAGTCGCATCGAGGGACGTTCGGGACGGGGTCAGCGGCGTTCACGAGGCGGATGAGCTTGAGCAAACGTTGGTCCACCAGCCGCCCGAACGCCGCGTTGCCCGTGCGTGGCTGCCCGAAGGTGTACACCACGGGTGGGCGCTCGAGCAGCCTTTCCATGCGGAGGGCCATGATCATGGCCATGGCTCTGGAGCAGAAACAAAAGGCACCTGCCTCGACCCCAGGCAAATCTAGAGAGGATGGGTAGGAAACAACTCCCGGGAGGTCCTCGTAAGACCTATCGAGGGCGACTGAGCAAGATTAGAAAGCCATTCGCCACATTAGCCCAGATTTCGCAAGCCGAGGATTCAGCCCGATTTTTGCAGGATTGGCATTTTAGGCGGGTCTGTGCCGGATCAGGCCAGTTTGGACCACCGATAACGCAGCGCCGATGCCCAGGAGTTGCATGAGAAGCGTGGGGTTCAAGGCTGCACCGCAGCGCCCGGCTCCGCGCCGCGCGAGGAGCGCGCACACTCTCGCGCCCGCCAGCGCCGCCCGCCTGGAGGAGAGCCGCTCTGCGGCCCGGTGCCGCGGAGCGCGAAACGCGACCATCTGTGCACCCCCGGTGGTGACCTCGGACGTGGGCCAGGGCCAACGTTTGAGTGGGTGGGGGGAACGGCTCAGGGGGAGAAACATCGACCTGGAATCGGCGAGAGGCCGCCAATGTCGAATCCGCACGTTCCTGGACGGGCTGGGGGCTATGGCGCCATCGACGGCGATGCACCGGCGCTTGGGCGGGCGCCCACAACGCCCTCGGCAAGGCGCAGCTGCTGGAGAGCATCCCGAGGCGGGGCAGCCGCCGAGAACCAAAGGAAACTCCTGAAAACCGTCCGAACACGTCTGAATGTGCACGGCTTCTGGAACCCTGAGGAGAACACGCCCTCCACCTCTGGCCGTGGATCGGGCCCCCCCCCGCCCAGGCGGCGGCCTTTCGGGACGACTTTGGCCTCTTGGTCGGCTCTTGGTGAGGCGCGGTGAGGGCCAAGATGGTCGCCGAGAACCGCCGAAAACGCCCGAAACTCTGAGACCGCGAAACGCGACATGGCGGGGTAAGCTTGCCTCCTTCCTGCTCCACGATGGCGCCGCCCATGCTGTGGCCGGTGAGCCAGACCTCGAAGCCCGGGTGTGCGCTCATGAGATCGCTGAGCGTCTGGCTCATGTTCGCCCATAGCAGATCGGTGGCATGCACGAAGTACTCATTGACGAGCGCGCCTGGGAAGTCTTCACAACCGTGACAACTTGTTTGTTTGTTTTGTTCAGCCGTGGGTTGGCTACGAGCTCCAACTCCCTTGCACTACAATCGCACAGCGCGACGACTGGAGACCGAACGAGAGCCCGAAAAGCGGACGATGTGAGGGGGCAGGGCACCAAGACGGAGGGACAACGACCGAGGAAGAAACCGAGGCTCGGCGACGGCAATGGCACTGACGAGGACGGGGATAATTGCACCGGCACTGACCAGCCTGCAACACCTTGGGAGGCACCATCGGGGAGGCAATGACTCAACCAAATTAGAAGACAATTGTTCAAATTAGCCCAGAATGAATTAAAGATTAAGCCTGATTGGCCGGGATTGCGGGATTATGCCAGATTAGGCAGGTTTGCGAACATAGATCTACCAGCGCCGATGCTGATTTCAACCCTCCAACAATCGCCCCAGATACCGACCGGCCCACGTGGACTGAGGTAGCGGCGGGCACAGGACCGCAGGAGCCAGTGCAGCAGCACGAGCAGGGCGCCTTCAAAACCCGCCCGCATCCGACGGGAGCGACAGCACCACGGGGCGGGGTATTCAACCTCCTCCCAGACGACGATATAATTGTGGACATTGGATCATTCTTGGGTCTGCGCGTAACAGCCCCTACGTCACCAACGCGGTGGAACAGCGACAGGACTTTGGACTATTTCTTGGGGTCCAATACGATCAACCTGGACAGCATCACTGTACATGGATGCCATCTCTCCGACTACAAACTGGTGCATGTGATGGTCGACATGAAAGCCGTGCAGCCAGCAAAGGGCGTTGCCTGGAGACGAGCCGCGCGTTTCGCCTTGCCACAGAGCGCGTCCAGGCTGACTCCCAACACAACGACCGCGACCACGACTACCAACACCACGACTACTACTACAGCTACCCACCCACCGACTCCTGCCCCAACTCCAGGAGGGACGTTTGTCGGCAGTAACGGCGAGGGAGGAGAGGGAGAGGGAGGAGCAGCTGAACAGAGGCAGAAGGAGGCGAAGGAGGACGAGCAAGCACGGGCTGTGTACATCGAGCGCTTGGCCACACAATGGCGCTCACGGTCCAGGGGTGTGCCGGATCAATTTGTTTCTGTTTCGGATCGATGGATGTGGTGGTGCATGCGTGCGGAATCTTGCTTACGTTCAGAACCAGATTTGCTCGTCCGCGACGGCGAGGTTGGGAAATCGTCCTTTGAATACGCACCGTGGTCACGGAAAGAATCGGGGAACGACTCGTATACGAAACATGAGAGACAGCTCCGGCGCCTCCTCCAACACTTAGGGGAGATGCCTGGCAGGAGGGGGAGACATGCAGCCAAACTTCTTGCGCAGTGGCGACGACGAGCTCGTAAACTGTGGAGAGTGATGGGCAATGCGGTCCACAACCCTACTCCGATCCCGACTTCCAACCCCAACTCGGCTCCGGCGGGCAGTGCGGGAGGTGGAGGTCGAGGCGATGGAGGAGGAGGAGGAACAACGGCGGGAGGTGGAGGTCGAGGCGATGGAGGAGGAGGAACAACGGTGGTAGATACGACGACGAATTTGGCAGCGACGAGCGGGGCTATCATCTGGGCTCCGACGGACAGTGATGTGGGAGGAGGAGACGGCGGTGCAACAATGGCGGCTACGACGACGGTGGTGGCTGCGATGGGTGGCGACGACGACCCAATTGCGACAGCGACGTGGCAACGGGGGAAAACCACCACGACCACACCACTCAGTTACACTAACCCTTGGGAGTGGGAAGGGGCCACCAAGGAGGTAGAGCAGGCGCTATCTGCATGCCTCGAGGGATCCAGACTGGAACGACTCAGGGTCTGGAGGCAAAAACTACAGGCAGACGGGCTCGGCAAGACCACGGCAGCCTGGATACGGAACCAAGTATCGTCTTTTTCCAACACGGCAGTGCAAGACCCTACACGGAAAGTTTTGCAGGGCTCGACCTACGCTGCCACGAACTATTTCGATCACGATGCTGTGAACCGTGTCAGAGATTATTACGACCAACATTTTTACGCTTGTGGTCTCGGGAATAACGTGCAGGGAGATCTTGATTCTTACCAACAATATCTGGATAGCGCCCGGGATGATATACAGCAGGCTCAGGACCTCCAACACCACCACGCTCGACATATCTTCGCTACGGCTGGGCCCTTGGACCCATGGAGAGCACCTGAGGCAGTTGAGTTTCGACGGATGTTTCACGGAGGAAAGGCCCACGGCCCCGACCAATGGTGCCCAGAAGAGCTGATCCTTCTACCAGACGACGCCCTCGTGGAGCTGATTCACATCTGCGCCGAGGCTGAACAACACGGCTGGCCGCCCCAGCTCCTGCAGTGGAGACAGATACACATTCCCAAGGATGAGTCGGCAACCATGCCGGTACTGACGCGACTCCGTCCCATAGCAATCGCGAGCGCGGTTGTGAGAGCCTGGCATCGCTGGAGGGCTGCTCAGCTCACCGAGTATCTCCAACCTGCTTTCCCTGACACACAGGGTGGGGGGATGAAGGGCCGCACCCTCGAGCAACTCATCGAGCCGTGCCTCTCCCGGCTCGAGGAGACGATCACCGCCAACAGGCTGGACGACACGTTTGAAGCGACCCCAGAACAGCAAGCTCTCCTTCAGCAGCGCCGGGGTGAGCTGCACGTCACATCTTGGGATTACGAATCGGCTTTTGACCGAGTCTCCCCGCGCCTCGTCGGCGCGATATGGCGGCATCTGGGCGTCCCAAGCGAGATCACCAACAGCATTGTATACGTATGGGAACACCAGGAGCGCTGGATTGAGCTGGACCCTTTCCTCTCCGACCAATCTATACTTGTCTCCAACAGCCTGCCGCAAGGGGACCCCGTTGCTATGCTGGCGATGGCTACGGTTCTGGTGGGACCACTGCGAAGAATCGGCATCATTGCTCCGACGGCCACGTGCTGCACTTACGCGGACGACCGGACCGCCATGACCGACACAGCAGATGACATGCAGCGCATACAACAAGAATGGGACCACCTAGAGAGCTTGACGGCTCTACGGACCAACCACGCCAAGACGCAGAGCTTCACCATCTACCCAGATCGTTGTCGAGCCGCACAGCTGACTGGGATGAACATGAAGATTCTGGGCCTGGATATCAATCTCCACAGAGCCCGACTGACCAACAGGGAACACCGCAAGTTCCTGGAAGGGTGCGTGCGACTCCGACGGATCGCCTCTCTGCCTCTGTCGCTACGACTACGACGGCTTGCGGTTACTGCGATGGCATTACCTGTGTCGACATGGGCGCTGGTTCTCACACCGCCTACGAAAACTATGATCAACACCCACCAGCAGTTGGCACGACGGGCGGTGTCTCTCAGGAGGTGGAGGGGTGCGGCCCCAGAACTACTCCTCATGCTTCTCATGGGGCATCAGGCAGACGTGCGGTACCACCTCTGCCGAAGATCCTTACAGCTACTGCGGTGGCGGCTGCGCCGGCAGGGACAGGATGCCCTCGCCTTCTGGGACCACGCTGTCACGAGCGCGCAGACAAAAGGACCGATCCTCGCTTATAAGGCGCATCTGGCTACCATTGGTGCCCAACAGAACGACAACTGGGAATGGAGGGGACCTCAGGGAAGCCTCCGGCTCACCGACGGGACAGGCAAGCAGCTACACGAGCTTCGCCTGATCCTCCGATCCAACGAATGGTCTGTGTTACAGAACAGGACTCGCCGCGAGAGCCCTCTGGCGGCGGGCGCGCCCTTTCCAACGGCTGCCCTACGGGTCGCCCAGGGCGCACTACGGACAACTCCTGACTTGGCTTCGCACATCACTGCGGTATTGTGCGGGTGTGCTGTGTCGGACGCCCTCCTGCAATCCCACACGACAGGAGAGGTATCGGATAAATGCGACCACTGTGGTGGGCCATACGTGCCCACGCTCGAACACCACTACTGGGAATGCTCTGCCAACGACGACCTGCGACGGGGCGTTGCTGTGCCGACAGCTGGCTTGACCCGCCGCCTGGGCTGGCCCACGACAGAGCTCACCAGGAAGACAGCAACAACGACCTGGCTACCTATGGTGTTCACCATGGCACGGATACGGCAACGGGTATTACACGCTCTGTTTGCCACGACACATGAAGGGGGAAGCCGGGTGCGTAGGAACACTACCCTACAGCCCGGGAGGGAAAACCCACAAATACAACGGGGACCACGACCATAATTGGGAACACTGCCGTTGGGGACACCACACCCTGACGTGACATTGGGATTGCATGTATTGCGGTGCATTACTTTTGTTCTGCCGGGAGGGACCGCTCCGATTATCCCACGGTCGCCGAGGTCATCCCTCGTGGCGCTGTACGACCAGCGCTTCCGGTTCAACCCCCGCGGGGTATTCAAGAAGATGATGCCAGCGGTGATGAGTGGCAACGGTGACGACGGTTGTCGATGGTAGCGGGCGATGCCGATGGCTGTGATGATGCTGCTGCTGTTTCTGTTGCTGTTGCTGATGCTGCTGCTGTTGCTGCTGTTGTTGCTGCTATTGCTGCTGCTGCTGTTGCTGCTGCTGCTGCTGATGATGGTGATGCTGATGCTGCTGATGCTGCTGATGCTGCTGATGATGATGGAAAGGATGATGGAAAATGTGATGGTGATGATGATGAGGTCGATAGTGGTAAGGATCCCGCAGACACTCGTGAGGCAGGCCAGGGGCGATCACCCCGGTGCAGTGGCGGAGGCCCCACGCCCGCACACCAGGCCAACGACGCACTGCAGCATACACGGCCTCGTGTGCCGTGCTGGCAAGGCTGCCCCACGCCTCTGGGCACGAGGTGTCCCTCATTAATTGAAGGGGCCTTGGGACACACAAATAAATACACACAAATAAAAAATCCCCATATTTTCCAATATTTTCTGTTTTTTTTTTGTCTTCCCCACCACTTCCCATATTTTCCCATATTTCCCGGGGGGTCGACGATTCATTGTGTTTGTGTGCTTCTTTCCCTCCTGATTGGTGACGCACGGCTTCTTTGTGCGTCCTGCTGGCGGCACCTCAAACCGTCCACCGACTGAGCCAACTCAGCCACCAGCACTCAGAACGTCAGCGCCAGCAGTTGGGGGGCGGAAAGATACGGATACGTGTTGTCCCCGGACCTCTCTTGGGGTGCGTTCTGACCAGAATTTCGAGGCGAATCCAGCGGTGACAACGAGGATTCCCCAGGAGGACCAGGAAAGGCCGAAAACGAAGGGGGACAACACGTATCCGTATCTTTTTCTCCCCCGAAGCAGCATCAGCACTCGGCCATCAGCACCACCAGCTCGGCCACCACACGTCAGCGCCCCGCCGACGCGTCGTGGCCCACCTCGGCCGTCGGCCTCCTGGCGTGTGCCCGGGAGTCACCCCTGCATACCGCCGACCTCGGCCCCTGAGGCGGCAGCTCGCCCTCGCCACCATCCTCGGGCCCTGCCCGCCCCTCGCGCGGACCACGGGGGGCAGTGGACGCGGAGGCGGACGCTCACCGTGCCCCGCCGGAGGGACGACCCGCAGGGGGCGAAGTGCAGGGGCCGCGGCCCTCAAGTGGCAGCTGCGAGCCGCAGCCCTCGTGCGAACCATCGGGGGGGCTTCCCCGGATGCGCGGCGCGCTCCGCCGTGGGCAACCTGCCGAGGGCATCCGCCAGAGAGCGAGCGGCGGGGGCCCCCGGCAGCTCGGCCTCGCGGCGCCCGGCCCTCGCCGCCGTCGCGAGGCGTGCGCGGGATGCCTCCGCCAGGCAAGCTTTGACGGCGGTGGGGCCAGCGCAGCTGCCCGCGCGCCGCCAGCGTCCGCCCCCTGCCTCGCCGCCCTCGCCCGCATCCTCGGCGGCAGCTGCCGCCGAGGCCGCGCCCGCCGCTGCTTCCGGCGCGGCGGCGGCTGCGGCGCCAGTTCCGCGTCCCCCAGCGGCCGCTGGGGTGGCGTGCTTGCCTCCCTGGACGGGGCCGCCAAGGTTGTTCTGAACGGTGTCCCGAGGCCCCCGGGCCCCCTCACCCGGCACCCTGGGCCCCAGCATCGGACGGCGGCGACTTTTGGGCCAGCCGTCGGGGGCCTGCAAGCAGTCCTGGTCGACCTGCCTGGCCTCGCCGCGACGCCGACCCAGCAGATCACCCTGGCCACCTTGGCAGCGGGCCCCGAGACAATCGGTCAAGAGGGGGAGATGAAGCCAAATGTTCGAGCCGCATCGATCTGTGATGGTCCTGGGGCCCGAACCTCGGAGCAAGGCGAGTGGAGACAGCGGCAGCTCAAAATCTGTCCCTGGACCCCTCATGGGGTCCAAACGCACGAGTGTTCGAGCCGCGTCAAGCCGTGGCGACGAGAGAACTCCAGGGAATGTAAAAAGAACGGGCAAGGCCCCCCTCCCCACTTTTCAACTGGCCGGAACCAGTTCTGGGCCACCTCATAGGCCCATCCGACTCCAAGGCCACCTGCTTCGCCACCTCCTTGGCACTCTTCGGGGCGTCGTCGCCGTGCGGATGGAAGGCTGCTGGCTGCCACGATGATGCTGACGATGGGGGCGGTGATGCTAATGACAATAATCATGTAAAGTACAATGCTGATGGTGCTGCTTATGCTGATGATGCTGCTGCTGAAAATGATGATGATGATGATGATGCTAATGCTGATGCTGATGCTGATGCTGATGATGATGATACTGAGGATGATGATGATGATGATGATGATGATGATGATGATGCTGATGATGATGATGAGGGCGGGGAGGAGGAGGATGAGAAAGAGGAGGATGTTGAGTATGTTGATGTTGATGGTAAAGATGATGCTAATACTGATGCGCGGTGAACTTGTAGTAGATTTAGCATGCACGATGGTGATGGAGATGGGCGCACCTGGGTGTGGGTCCCAAGTCTGGTTCACGAGACTGTGGTGCAACAACTCTTCGGTTAGCTGCGTCCACTTATCGGTGCCCCGGAAGGACGCCACAATGCGGGCGGAACTCACGTCGACGCCCATGTACGCGAAACCGTCCTGCCAAACGCCAGGAGTATAATGGAAATTCTTCACCAGCTTGAAGCTCGACGGAAGCTGCCCCCCCTCGGGAGTAAGTGCCGATGGGTCCGCGTAGTAGGAGGCATCGGCGTGCAACAACATGTCATACGCCTCCTGCATGCTGAAATTGACCTGCCGATACGAGGGCTCTGGGCAAGACGACGAGTTCCTCACGGTGCTGCTCGCGGAGCAGGAGTTGCCCCACGGCAGCTCCGAGTAGCAGCGCTGGTCTTTCTCACACCACTGGCACCCATGCGAGAACCACCCGGGTGCTCGCGGGGAGCCAAAAACCATACTCACCCCGACCTCCTCTCCTCCGGCACCACACGAACAAAACCTGCACAAGCGGACATGTTCGGATGCCCGCGAGGACTATTTGGATCTGCGCTGGACCCCCTGCCGCCGGAGGCGCTGCCAATCTGAGGGGGGTCCAGTGCCGACCGAAGAAACCCGCGCGGACCTCAGAGAGTTTCAGTCTGTACAGCTGTTGTTCGCGATTCGATGCGCCTCCGTCTTCTTCCGCCGCCGCCTCCCCCTCCCCCTCTCGAACGACCTCTCCCCCTCCTACCCCCCCCACCCTCCTCGGCCCAAGAGGGCCTGGAGCAGGCGCTGCTTTTAGGCTCCCCTTCTGAGGCGCAAGACGCGCAGTCGCCGTACTCGGCGCACTCCACCGACCCGAAGGTGGACCCAACAACGGGCAGCCAGCGGAGTCAGAGACTCCCCAGGGGGGAGTGGGAGGACGAACCCCAGAGAGGGCACCGTGCACCATCCCCGTCCCCCCCTCCCTCCCAGGGGGCCGACGATCCTGGAAGGAAGGCAGGGTATGGGCAGCATCGAGCAAGTACATCACTTGGGAATTTCTGAGCGGGGGCGGGTCCACAGGACGCACCTGGCTACGCGGCCGCTCTGGAGCGTCCCGGATCGCTGTAGAACGCGCTGGGTCGACTCGTCCTCATCTTATCGTCGATTCGTCGGATCTCATCTTACAACTGGCTCGTCGTTCGATCGTGTTTCGCTTCGATTCGTCCTTATCCTATCGTCGACTCGTCCCCCAGGGACGAATGGTGTGTGCAAAGCCCTCCGCTTGCCCGTCGCGGCCCCCAAGAAGCTGCGACCGCCGCGGAGGAGGATGGTGCCAGTGTACGCGTTCCCTACGTGGCTACACACGAACCCTGCCCCCACCAACCATCGATTTTCCTGAATCGAGTGGAGGCGGGGACAGGGTTCGGATTTTGCCACGTGCTCGACAACTGCCGAACCCTACCCCCGCCGCACATCGAGTTGCCTGAAACGGTGATCGGCGAGGGTAGGGTTCGGCGCCACCACGCCACCCGAAGGGACCCCGAGACATGGGTCCCCAAGGCGAGGATGGCCTGAACGATGCAAGCTCAGCCTGGGAGCCCTGCCTTGCCCGCGAAGCCTCACCCCTCACGGCCCCCACCGGGGGGGGGGGACAACAAGATACTGATACCGCGACTCCACGGACCTCTCCCAGTGTGCGCTCTAAGCAGAACCTCGAGGCGAACCCCGCAGTGGCGACGAGGGAAGGGTAGCGGTATGGGTACCTCTTCCTCCGACCCTGTGACAGCCTGGACACCCCCCGGCCCCTGATCTGTTCCGTCCGCGGCGCCAACGGCCTTGACCGCGTCCCTGGGGGCAGCTCGTCGACCCACATCCATTTCGGATGATCCTGGGGCCCAAGAAGGCCCCCGGGAACGAGGACAGAAGCATCTCGGATGAGGTCCGAGTATATAAAGTCGGAGGATCGCCCCGCATCACCAACGCATCGGCGATGCATCGAAGATGTATCTGCGATGCATCGGCGCCATCGGCGTTGAGAAACTCGGGCTCCGCATCGAGCCGCATCGTCGAATATGTATCCGCGATGCGGCGCGATCCTCTGACCCCATGGAGGAGGCCTAGGGGAACGAAGAGCGGTTTGAGCAGGGACCGACCGTCCCAGCATTCCTATAGGCCTAGCACGACATGTTCGTAGAACCCCAACATGTTCGAAAAACAGAACCAATGTTCTTAGAACATACAACCGATGTGTTAAAACAAGACAGTCCCAACCAGAAATGTTCTAAGAACATTTCGTGGAAACTACCAACGGTTCTTAGAACATTGTTTGGTAGGCCTATAGGCACGCCAAGACGCTTCGCCACTGCTTGAGCGGTCCCCGCTTCCGCTGGCCGAACTGGGCGCCGGTCCGCTGGCCGCCGTCGCCGCGCCAGCGGGCGCGCGGGCGGCCCACAAGCGCAGCAGCAGCAGCGCGGGCGCGCGGCTGCCACCCCGCGCGGCGCGCGGCATCGGTCTGCAGCCAGAGCCCACTTTTTAACATAGCGCCCCCGACTGCCCCCCCCCCTCCCCCACCCCCTGGTCGCGCCACGATTCGCGCCTGCGCCGTGTGGGAAGGGGCCGTCCCTCAGGCATTCCCAGACGGCGCCAGCGAAACATCGTGCGTCCGTCGTCGCCAGGGGATTGGAAAAAAAACGGTCTCTGGACGCCGCGGGTGCTGCGCCTTCGCTCGCCTCCAGGCTGGCCGCCCGCGGGGGCTGCCGCAGCTGTGAGCACCTGGTGGCCGCAGAGGGGACTGGGAGGGCTCCGCGTGTATGCACTACGTCGCTTGGTCGGCTAAGGGGCTCGGACCCAACGACGCGGTGTACAAATCGAGCCCCTCCGAGAGAGGCTGCCGAGACGCCTGCCATCTCTTCTGCCCTCTGGGGTAGCAGGCGGCGGCGACTGGCAAATCCCACCAGCACTCTGGGCGTAGGTGGTTGAACGAGTTCTGTCTTCTCTGTGACCAGAATCCCCCCTTCCACTGAACGGGGGAAGGGTTTATCACAACTCCCTATTACTACACCCCCTCCCGCAAGCGACTGGCAGCCAACCAGGCTCAACGCCGACCCGACGATCATCATCCCCCCAATCATCCCTGTCCCAAAAACAATACAACACACACATACACTCTGCCTCCAAATTCGGTGCCTGCGCAACCAACCTGCGACCCCTCCCCCCACCATCCCTGGTAAAAAACAACACGAAATACACAAGAGGACAACATATTGAGTCATGTCCGTGAGGCCCTAATACACCTCGCGGCGGCTAAATCAGCATCATGCGCGGCCAACTAACGATTACTGTCAAGTGGCTTTTGACAAGGGCGGCGGGGGTGGAGGCGTATGGTCTGCTGCGTGCAGGCCCGCACGACACCATGATGGGCATTAGTTTTCGTCAAGGATGGTGGGGGCTGACATGTTTTCCAATGTGTGCTGTGACGTGCGCAAGCGCACCTGGCACACTCTGCACGTGATCCGAACGTGGCGCACCTGGCGCGGCTGGGGTATGCGGCGCACCTGGCGCACGTGGTACATCTGGCGCACCAGGCGTGCCTGGCACGCTCGGGACCCAGGGGTGCCTGGCGCGCGTAGCGCGCCTTGCACGCATGGCGCACCTCGCCCCAGCGTTGCGCACATGGGGTCGGTGTTGGTTCCCAGTAGCTGCCCATCCAAAAACGACCGCTGAACATGCTGAGGCTCGGGTGCTACTTATGCGTTGGGAGGGCGGGTGGGACTGAGCTAGACGGCTTGCTATCTCGGAGGGCGTCTAGACTCCTCCCCCCAATCCCCTCCCCTGGGCCTGGGAAGAGGGGGGACGGAGGGGTTAGAGCATCCAAGATGACCCAAGAAGGCTCTGCCCAAGATCGCTTCCAAGATGGCTCAAGATAGCCGAAGTTGGCTCAAGGTGGTCCCCGACATACCTCCAAGAGGCCTCATGACAGCCCCAAGACGGTTCCAAGTGCCCTTCGAGGCTTCCAAGGCCCCGCCTTTACAGGCCAAGCGCCTTCAAAAACCCACGGAAAAAATCAATCCTGCTGAACTTCTCGCTTCTTCGCTTCCGAGAAGCTTTGGAAACCTCAAGATGGCCCCGAGATGGCCCAAGAGAGCCCCAACAGAGACCCAAGAGGGCAAGACGGCACCAAGAACGCCCACTAGCACCCCGAGACCGCCCCAAGACGGCCCCAACATGCCACCTTTGAACCTCCAAGGGAGCGGGCTGAATTGAGGACCCCCCCCTTTTTGAACAGTGAGCCCATAATTGCCGTACGAAGCATTCCGAACCCCCCAAAGAGCCCCAAGAGTGTCCCGGCACCCCCCAACAGCGCCCCAAGAGGGCCCCAAGGGTGCCCCAAGTGGCTCCGCGAGGGCCCCACGAGAGACCCAAGATGGCTCTACGAGACCTCCTGCACGTCACTGATCAATGTGACTCGCCTGGCCATAGTTTCTGGATGGGCTGGTGGAGATACTTTTTGGTCCGCGGGCGCGCGAAAACAAGTCGAACGCCGTGCGTGCTAGGGCGGGCCGCGCTCCTAGCTATGGGAAAAGCAATGAGGTATGTGGCAAACAGCGAGTGCAAGGGGGCCGCAGTACCGCCCGCCCAGCAAACTGCGGCCAAAGAGCGTGGCGAAGAAGAGGAAGAAGAGCACGAAGGCTGGCCCGGATCCAAGGGCTGGCGGAGATACTTTTTTTGGTCGGCGGCTCCGAGGCAACGGACAGGGAGCGGAAGCGGCGTTCGGGTGACGGCACGAAGCATGAACAACACATCTAGTGCATTCTGTGCGGTCCGATATCCGCTAACGTACCTGCACAATGCGTGTTGCGTCACCATTCGCTCTGGGGGGCCTTGGCGTCCAGAGCGTTTTACCTAATCGTTCGCTCTTGGGGTCCTTGGCGTTCGAAGTTGTTTCCGTCACAGCTCGCTCTTGGGAGCCATGGTGTCAAGAGTTGTTCACATCGCAATGGGCTTGCGGGGGTATTGTTGTTATGAGCGTTTCACGTTTCATGTAACCGCTCGTTCTTGGGAACCTTGGCGTTCAGAGCTTGTTACGTCACTGCTCACTCTTGGAAGCCTTGTTGTTCAGAGCTTATTGCTTCATAGCTCATAGCTTGCTCTTGGGAGCCTTGGCGTTGCGAGCTGTTTCGAGTCGCGGCTCGCTCCTGGGAGCCTTGGTGTTCACAACTTGTTTTCGTCAACGTTCGCTAGTTGGTGCTTTTGGCATATCTGGGCCTTCTTGGGGTTCCTCTGGGGGCCGGGGCCCTGTTCGGCCTTCTTGGAACCCTTTTAGGTCGTCTTGAAGGTCCTTGATCGCCTTGGGTCTCTTTCGGGGGCCTCTGGGGCCGCTCTCAGGAGCCTCTCGGGGCCCTCTGGGGGATCGCTTAGGGGCCTCCTGGGGCCCTCTTGGAGCCCTCTGGGGCCGCCTTGGGGCCCTCGGAGCGATATGTTGGGCCTCTTGG